AATTGTTCAGGAAGCTACAGGGCAGTGGTTTGCACATTGTTCCTGAGAAGATCCCAAAGTCTCTCTTCACTGGAGATACCAATTTAACTACTCTAGTGTGTAAAGATGTAAGAGACTGCTGTTGTTTAAAAAATATTTTCTTCCACCTTTAAGAAACACCTTAAGGTCTGATAGTCAATAGAATGATGAGAATGGTGGAATGATTTAATATACACATGGCAGACATATCTGTTTCACCATCACTGACTGGTGCTTCCTTTCATAGCATAGAGTTGTTGCTGTAAGCAGCTTCCCAGACAGGCAAGACATTCGCCAGTGCCAACTATGCACCAACTCCACTCACATTCTATTGGCTAAAACCAGTCACATGACCCCAAATATATAGATGGGCCAGTTCCAAACAATGGAAGTGATGTGTGGCTCTTCCAAGTTGTGTGTGCTATTTCCATAGTGTCTTCATCCTCAGCAGCAAGCCTGGGATCATCTGCTGAAGGTGGCTACACTGTACGATGGAAGGGGCCAGAATCCCTAAGTCAGTACTCATAGGAGAGTTGCTTATTCAAGAAAGAATATCCGTATTGAATGTTGTATGAGGAAGAATAAAATTTTGTGTCATAACATTGTAGTTTAGGGGATTTTCTACAGCAGTTCATCTACCCTGACCAAATGGCAGACACCGAACAACTGTAAATGTAAATTTTCTCAGGGTCCAGGATACTCTGGGAAAATGGAAAAGAAGCACAAGGAAGAAAAAGGCACAGACATAGAAGCACAAAAACCCAGGTGGGGAGCAGTGGGTTCATTTCCGGGGTAAACCCCTATGAAATATCTGCTCTTAGAACAATCAGTTCATTAGTCTGAAGCAATGTGGGCTAAAATGAACAGCTTAGTTATCCATGCAATTATCATTTTTTTCTAAAAATATAGTCAGAAAAATTACAAATAATCTCTGTCAGGTTGAAAAAGAAGCAAACTAGGAGTGCTAAAATGGGTATGTAGCATTTTTAATAGATTATAATATTGTATCTAGGAGATAACCCAGTGAGAAGGACTGGGCTGAAGGAACCCAGAGAAACATTCAAAAGGAAAGGATAAGGTGGGAAAACACTGAAAAAACCCTGAAGATTCAAAGTAAGAGAAAGTGTCAGAGAAGTTACAAAGTGGTTTCAAAACAGGAGTCAAAGTTTATGGATTTCAGGATAATTTTTAAAAAGCTAGAAATTAGAGATGGTAGAGAAAATGCTTTGAAGACTTAAGAATTATATTTATTCGACAAACTTACTGAGCAACTAGTATGTGCTGAGTCTGTGATAGTCACTAGGGATAGAAGAACTGTGTGGAGTTCAGTCTTCTTAAACAGAGAATAAAAAGCACACACACACAAAAACTGTGATACATAGTATTCTGTCCCACTAGTCCTCAGAATGGCAATTTTTCTTTGACTCAAAAACAGAGTCAAGGCTAGTGCAGAAAAAGAGCACCATTTCTCCCCCACTACAACTCCATCTTCCTAATTCTATTTTAGCAACCTGAAAACGACAAAGTGGCTAAAGAAAGAGAAAATTCTAAGACTTCAACAGACCATGACGAAAATAGAGCTAAATAATTATTTCTAAGAAAATAACATTACTTTTTATCGCCACACACTGAATAGCTTTCCTGATTGTTCCCTGTAAGTCTGTAATGGCACTGGTTGCAGAATGCACAGTTTCTGACAATAGACAATACAACTGAAAAAATTAGTCTCCTGTGTGCAAAATAACACTGTCACCACAATGGGCTATTCGTGCCTGCTCTCTCTGGACCTTTGCAGAACAGAATACCAGTGCAGGCTAATTACACGAGCTAGCTGAAAATTGAGTATGTATTGGAAAGCCATCCCCCTAAAGAGTAGCCGAGAAAAGGTCTTAGCACCAAACACAAACCAACAGGAAAAAAGTGAGAGGGCAAACAAGAGAGCATGTGCAGAGGCATTCTGATTAGCATACTGCTGTTAATCATTTTTGTGGATGTGCATAAGAGAGTTGTACAATTCTCTGCCATAGAAAAGAACACTTCCAGCACAACTCACTTGTGAGCTCACTCGTGTCCACTCAGACCTGTACTTAATGCACAGGGACCAGGAGAGCAGCGGGGCAACGGCTCTTCCCTGCTCACCCGAGGATCCTGTCTCTAGGAACCTGCATCCTAGCCTCTTTTTCTTCACCTAAATGAAATTTGCTTTGGCTCTCAAAATGAGAAAGAAAGAAAAGAGAGAAAGGAAGGAGGAAAGAAAAAAAAAAAAGAAAAGAACACTTCCCAGGATGAAAGAATTTTCCCCCATGCTGACTCAAACGCTTTGCCCCAGTGCACCGCTGTGGATCAGCCTTAGGTTGAGGACCTTTGTCACTTTGGGGTGCAAAACGAGTTCATGTCCGGAAAAAAGTTAAGAGTCAAAGGCAGTCCTGGCTGGGTGGCTTGGTTGGAGCATTATTGTCCTATACACCAAAGGGCTTCGGGTTCATCCCTGGTCAGGGTCCTTGAGTGGGGCTCATACAAATGACAACCGAACAACATCTCTCTCTCTCTCTCCCCCCACGCCCCATCCCTCCTTTCCTAGCATTCCTCTGGTGAAGATTTAAAAAGAAAAAAGAAAAATATGCAAAGGCAACTTTCACACACTGCTTCCCATGTTGGCAAAGAGTACAGCTGGCTTGTCCCAGGGGAAGGTAGAGGGGTTGAGCAAGGACCAATTGTTCCAAGTTATGCTCTTCATGGGGCATGGTGCCATTCATCTGGAAGAGGTTTAGAATTTGAGTCCTTCAGAAAAAGTTTCAGAAAGAGCCCAACAAACAACAAACAAATGTTCCTCATGGTCAAAACAAACGTGTAGTGTCATCCATGACCCATGAGCCACTTTAGGTCCACACCCAAATCCAGTGACTTTGTCGTTCGAGAAGAGAAGCATGGGCTGGTGAGCCAGGGTCCCGGCAGGAATGATGGCCTAAACTGTGTCATTTGAGGGACTCTTTGTAAAGGCCTAGGCCAGATGTAGGGGGACACAAGTACGGCATCAGGGAATTACTTCCAGTTTATTCCTAAACTGAAGATTCCGAGGGAGGGGAAGGGAGGGATCCTAACACAAGTCATGGCCTTCATTCCGGATGCAGTGCTGTCCTTCAGTCAAGGATGTAACTGAGCTGGAGCAACTCCACAGTGAGAAAGCTTTTCCTTCTTCCCTTTTTCTGATCAATTTCTAGTGCTATTCTCAGGGTTAAATCCAAAGGGAACCAGATGACAAAGGAGCCTATAGGTGAAGTCCCTGTAAGCTGACCTCCTGGAGCAAAGAATGACCCAGACTGAACTGTAGTGAGGACAGAAAAGTGGATCAGGGGTGGCAAATGGAAGGTCCTCAGCACAGTCAATTTCTCCAGGAAACTTAGGGCCGTCAGCTGGGATTTAAGGAAAACAAAAGTTTTAGTAGGGTTATCCTTTTGTGATAAACTGAGCTAACATACAGGATTGGACTGTCAGACTAGATCAACTTGAATCAGAGATCTCACCCCGTGTCAGGCTTTCCCAACAATCTCAGGGATCCAGTCAGTCAAGAGTCTCAGTCAGACAAAGCAGAGAGTAGCCTGGGACAGTAAGGGTGGCCTCCCCGGCCCTGGCTTCCTGCCCTGGACATGCACCTTGGCTCAGAATAGGAGGTGAAGTCTCAAGGTGAGGTCTGTGAGGTTCCTTGCACAGGAGGAATTTTTAAACCATGAAGCACTGTCCTTTATACCCAGAGACTTGGATGGCTTGGGTGCCACTCTCCATGGAGACCTGCCTGATAAATCCTGGGTTCCGTGGACAATAAGTAATACTTTAGCCAGGGAACAGTCTGCTAGGGGCTTTCAATGGATAAGGTCTCGTTCTCCTAACAAAAGCATTAGTCTATAACCCAGAGGTGCAGTGAGAAAGAAATTAGGCAAGGTTACCTACCTTGCTTTCTCCCCACCCCCACCCCCACACATACAACCTCCCACACCCCCAGGAATGGGAGTGAATGGATTTTAGGCATCTTTTTTAACTCTCCTTCCATAAACACTATATAAGAGGAAGAAGTGTGTGTAGGTGGGGGAGTGGGGAGAGAGAGAGATAGACAGAGGAAAAAGAGAGAGTGAGAGAGAAGGAAAGAATGAAGGAGGAAGCAAATGGAGAGGGGGAGAGACTTTTAGGAAGAGAAAGAGAAAACACTAAAATACAGAGAAGGGAAAGTCACTGGTGTCTCTTGCATGAGACTGGCATGAGGAAATCTGCTAACCCTCTTACCCTGAAGAACCTTCCCACTTTGTCAGGCAAGCGAAATGCAACTCTGATTAGTTTTTCTGAGGGAGACTACAGGTGTGACCACGTGCCCCTACCCCACAGGCTCCTCCTGGCCAGCACTGCCAGCCCCTGCCCCGTCCAGACACGGGCAAGGCAGTGCCTCTGCCCTCTGACTCTTACGCCACCAGGGCCTCCTCTGTGTCTGAAGCTTTGTAACTTTTAGATCTCCTCCTCCTAATGTGGAGAAGATGGTGTTACAAATCCTCTAAAATACAGGATTGTAGGTAAGCGTGGGGAGGTTGGGAGTGAGCCACAGTTGGAACTTGGGGTGAATTTGTCAACTTTCTGGGATTGTAAGTAATTTAATACAAGGGTGCATTTTTTCTAAAATCAGGTCCAGAATGTTGATAATATTCTGAGAAAGATTGAGGGCCTATAGAAGTTTAGCCAGAGAAACTACACAGAGTTTTTTGTGAATGTGGACCCAGGGACAAACCAGCAGAGTCCCCGCTGCGGGGTCTGATCCTGGGCCGCACTGGTCAGCTGCTCTTCCAACCTCCACACCCATGGGAGCATCTCCAAGCCCAAGGTCAAGCCTGAGCAGGAACATGGCCTTATTTTCCAGATGATTTCAAAGATGCTATAAGACATTTTGAATATAGAATGGTTATGTTTAAATTAAATCACCCAGGAAGAGTAGAACTTACCTTTTCGTTTTGTTAGATAACTTCTGGAAGCCATGTTGCAGACTTGTGCATCTCTCTGTCAGCTGGAGCGACTTCTCGTTCAGATAGGTGCTGTTCCATGAAAGAGATTTTACAGAAAGATTGATTGAAAAGGAGAGCTTATAAGATGTTGTTAACAAAAAGCAGATTTAATTGCTAAAGTGTCCCCAAATGAAGTCTGGGTTTTATTCCATTATTAGATTTCTGCGTGGAAAAGGAAATTGATGTTTTCACTTCTGACAGGTCTAAATTTTTTTTTAAAAGCTCACACTATAAAGTCAAAAAGGAAAGGACCACCTATGGAAGACTTTACATTTTCATATTTTGCGGTTATTATGTACAGTGAATGAGTTATTGAGTAGTTTTAATCATTGTGTGTGTGTGAGCAGAGTTCATTTTTAAAATATGTTATCTCTGGTAGGAAGCATGCAGACACAGGAGATCAATAGTTCTCTCCAGAAGAACACAAGGTAAATCTGGCCTTTGATTATTACAGTAACTGTGATACAGGGCCTGTTGCTCTTGCTTTATGAATCTGAAAAATTGGAGTTGGAACAAAACCAAATAAAACAGCCAGGCATCATGGAGTCGGGCTGCCTAAGGAGCCTCATGGAGGTATGCAAGCTAGTTAAATACCCCAGGCACCAGCTTCCACCTCCCTCATCCTTCCCTCAGTGTCATTGTCATGACATATAGTGACACAGAAAGCACGTAAAGCAGTTGGTACCACGCCTGATACAGCATATGGTCAACAAGTATTACATATTTCCCTTAGACTTCAAAATTGTGCATTCAACTCTGACTACTGTAAATACCTTTATTTAACCATCCTGAGGGTGTTTGCTAAAGACAGTCTAATAGGGGCTGGGGGCCAGGCCCAGGATGCTTAGGATATTGGAGGTAGATAAAATAAGCACAGCTGGTCCCTTTTTCAAGTGGAGCTTGCCGTCTGGTCAGGGAGAACGACACATCAAACCAAACACCACGTGAGTGAATATAGTGTAGAACTGTGAACTGTGATTCAGATCATTAACACAGCTGTGGGTGCCTTGGAGGACAGTAATGGGGAGACCCTTGCACACTGAGGGGCCTCTGAGATAGTGTTATTTAGGTGATGATCTCAAGGATAATCCAAATAGCGAGATGTTCTTTGGGAAGTTGGGGGCGGGGGTGGGGGCATTCCAGGCAGAGGGAAAAGCATGTGTAAAGGCCCAGAATGGGAAGTAACCCAGAGTGTTTGAGGCACTGAACGAAGGAGGTGGGGCTCACAGCTGAAGGCTGACGGGTGTTTGGAGCAGTGAGCAGGGGCCAGAGCACACAGACCTGATAAACCATGTTGTGAATTTATCCGGATAAGAAGGAGAAGCAATAGAAGGTTTGGGCCAGGGCAGTGATGTGACCTGGTATCTGCTTTAAGAGGTTCACTACACAGAGAAATGAAATGAGGAGAAGCAGGACTGCAGGAAAAGGGGTGAAGTTAGGAGGCATCCATGGGGTTATAAAAGAGCCACTTAGATATGATGTCATAAAAAACAACACCCAACTCACAGTCATTTTACATCACCAAGTTCTGGTATCTGCTCATGAAATGCCCATTGCACGACTGCTTGGCTTTCTAGGGCATCTCTGCTTCCTGCTGTTTATGCATTCAGAGTAGTCCTGGGGCACCTTCATTGCACCATCAGCAACCTGCTTCCGTAACTGGTGTGGCAGAAGAAGAGCATGCTGGGGGCACAGTCTGACCCTGCATCTGAATGCTCTAGTGCCATCAAAGCAGACTCATGTCCCCCCACCTGACTGCCAAGTGGGACTCAGAAAAGAGTGCCCATCCTGAGTGCCCAGAAAGAGAGGAGTTTGGGATATGGGTGTGGATGACGGCACCACACTGTCCATCAGCCCCAAGAGAAGCTTAGAGATTTAAGTTCTGTTCTGGAGATAAGTCTGACAGGACTTCAAAATAAATTGGATATGGAAGGTGAGGGATAAGAAGGTGTACAGTTAGAGATATAAAAGAGAAAGATTCATAATTAATTCTCCAATATGCCTCAAAAGTGTCTTCTAAAAACACTGTGCACAGAGTATATATGGGCTCATAAAATCCCTCTTCATCCTGATATGATTTTTCTCCCCCTCCCTCACTGCCTTCTTCTTTCGCCCTCCTTCTGTCTATATGTCTCACCTTCTCTGCTTCTAGAATGTATTATCGTACTTCCCAAGGATTTGTTTATTTCTAATTGGCTGTGTATTTTATTCAGGCAGCATCATTAATGAAGTGAATTACCAAGCCAGCAGTGCTTTGAATTATGATGGCTTTGCAATACTGAATTGTAAAACTGTGATGAGCAGGCACCCATAGGATTTAATGCCATAAAGCTTTCCTTAAGTTGGAGAGTATATTTGTTAATAAAAAGTCAAAACAGTTTTTCCCAACTGAATCACAGAAGACTAATGGAAGGCAAGGGAGAGTGCCTAGGGAATGATCGCAGGGAAAGAATGAAGTCACAGGAAAAAACAGTCAGTAGGTGTCAGTGGGACCAGCCTTCAAATCCAGGCTCCACACTCTATTGTCTTTGAACATAAGGGTTTCCTTTTTTAAATCTTTGCTCAATAAAGTAGCTATAGGAATGCCATAGACAGGATGTTTCTGTCCCCTAAATTCATTCATTGAAATTCCCCAAGGTGATGGTATGAGGAGGTGGAGCGTCTGGGAGGTGATGAGGTCCTGAAGGGGGAGCTCTGGTGAATGGGATTAGTGTGCGAATAAAATCCGATGGAGACAGTCTTCTGCCTGTGAGGTTACAGTGAAAGAAGATCGCCTATGGTAACAGTGGAAAATTGTATCGGTGGGAAAATGTAACCCATCCCACCATTCTTTTGACATTGTTTCTGTAAGTGCTGACTCGGACTGATATACAGCATGTAGATGAAGAGCAGGTTTGTATTAGAATCCTAGGAATTAATTTCAAAAGATACAGCCTCCGACCTTCAGGCATCCCTGTTCCAGGAGATTTGTTGACTTTCAACCGTGGAGTCAGGATGACATGGATCCAGGATGACTAAACCAGCATGAGGCACACCGGACTGTCACCTGCTTTATTGTAACTGCACAGGGAGAACTTTTCAACCCACATCCGCCCTTGATCTCTTTGTTCTGTTCCCCTCTCCCTCCTTCTAAAAACCTCTGCCTCCACTGAGATGTGGAGATGGGCTTTGAGACAAGAGTCCCCCATCTTCCAGGTTGCTGGCCCTGAAAATAAACCATTTTCCTTTACATCAGCACCTGCCTCTTAAGTGTTGGCTTTGTAGCAGCAGGCAGTCAGACCTGCTCTCAGTTACAGTTTTTGGCAACTTCAGATGGGACAACGTGGACTCCACTAAAGTCCAGAGGGCCCAGCATGGAGTCCTAGCTGCTTGTTGCAGGCTGACCCAATGGCAAGGATTGTACAAATTTTCCAGCAGCTGTTGAGAATTCTTTATCCCAGGGACTCCTCCTGTTCTCCCCAACAAGGCATCAGCTGCCTTTAAACACATTGCTGGTGAAAGGTACTGGGTTACTGGCGGGCTGACAAGCCCAGGCTGGGCAAGTCCCAGGTGTGTATAACCAGGAAGGAGCCCCTGCCCCACCACTTGGGTTCTTTGAAACATTTGGGATTCTGTAAGAATCAATAGGCACCCCTTAGCAACAGGCATGACTCAGTGACAAGAAAAAAATCCCAGTTCCCCTGTGTGGAATTTGGTTGGGTGCTCTTTTCGTTTGGATTTGGGCATTGTTTGCTTTTCTCATTGCATATAGCTTTGTAATTGTCTGTTAGTTTTGTTTCCTTGTTCCCCTACGGGAGGAAGTCTGTTTCTGTCTGAGAGCTCTCCTCTGTTTCTCTCTGTCTGTCTGTCTGTCTGTCTGTCTGTCTTATCCTTTCGGGACTTGGTTTGATCTTTGCTATTTTGTATACACCAGGAATCTTCTGTCTCCACCGTTTGGGCTGTGCCATTTGGACCTTGTAAAGGTCATTTGCTCTACTGGTTGCCGTGAGATAATGTCTCTGCCATTTGGGCTTCTGTGGCACTTGGACCTCGTCAGGGTGTTTCCAGCACCAGCTAGTGTGAGATAAGAGTCTAAGGCTAGTCTCAGCCTGTCCTTTTAGAGGAGTTAGTTTTAGAGTACTTGCTTGGACTTTGTCTTTGCTTTAGATTTTGTTTCTGCTTCTGTTTTGAAAGGAGTGGTTCAGTCTCCGTTCCTTCAGAGAGTCTATTAGATTCCATTTTAGACTAAATAGAACTGTTTTGCCAATGGTTTGGTAAACAAGATTAAGATCTCTAATGTGCAAGCTTTCGAGCTGTTACATCATGAGGATTCTACTCAGTAAAGGTTAAAATTAATGGTTTAAAGAGGGGCAAAGGCCTTCCTGTCTAGATGGTAGCACAGGTAAACATGGCTTGCCTCCTCACATGACAATATCACAATTACAGCTAAAATATAGAACAGCCATTGCTCAGAACCACCAGAAATCAAGTTGAATGGAAGTGTGGCAACTACAGATATAAAGAAGCCACATCTGTCGAGACTGGTAGGAGGGGTGAAGATGTGGAACAGGCTGGTCCCACATCCACATGTGGCGGATAAAAATTTGTGAGGGATATTTCCGGAGTGAGGAGTTCCAGCCCCACACCAGACCCCCCAGCCCAGGGTTCCAGTTCCAGGGAGATTAAACCCCCACAACTTCTGCCTGCAAAAGCCATCAGGGACTGAGTTGGTAGAAGACACTTCAGAAGTCCCAAGCAGTTCCTCTTAAAGAACCCATACACAGGCTTAGATTCACTTTCTCTGAGGTCCAGCACTGGAGTAGGAGTTTGAAAGGCACCAGGGGCAGACAGGGAGGAACTGGAGTGTCTGCCTTATTAAGGAGACAGCTGAGGGACAGTTTTCTCTCAGACAGAAAGGCGGACAGAGGCCATTGTCCCTTTCTGAGCCCTCCACCCACAGAGCCACAGAGCAGGAAGGCAGGTGACACATCTGAGACTCCATCAAGCTGGCTCACACAGTTTGCCCCACCCCGGAGATCCTCTAAGAGGAA